ATAAGAGAGGAGTTGATAGCAACATAGGACTTTAACAATTAAATACAAAAGAATCAGATTTACTTATAACACTCTTACTTCGTATATTTGATAATTTATGATGATACTACATGTACATAAGCATGCCTTTTATAGGCTTTCTAAGCTTAATAACTAAGTAACTATTCTTATTCATTAAGTAAAACCATCATGTGCAACTGGCGGTTGTTTGTGTTTTGGTCCATCAAGTTTTAATTCTTAATGGTGAAGAATAAAAACAAGCTAATACTTAGGCATTAAGAAAAGTTAAAATATCCAACTAAAATATTCTAGTACTCTTCCAACCAAATTCTAGAATTCTTTATCGGTAATTGGAAGTTGATTTAATTTTTACATCGTCTCCCTTAAATTAAGTTTGTATCATTCTAAGCATTTTCTTTAATTTGTAAAATAGTTCGATCTTTAGAGGTTTCATAAATATATCAATAATTTGTTCTTTAGTGGGATAGTACTTGATCACCACTTCTTTCTCCGCTATCAACACTCATATCTTGTGAAATCGAATATCAATATGCTTGACATGTCTATGAAAAATCGGATTCTTACTCACTGCAATAGCTGACTTATTGTTACAATATATCTTTGTAGGACTATTCTGCTTCTGATGTATCATTTCTAAAATTCTTCTCATCCATACTGTTTGAGTAGCATATCTCGTTGTTGCAATATATATCCTGCTTCGGCAGTAGAAAGCGCAACAATTGACTGTTTCTTCGATGACAACAAAATTGCACCTATCCCCAAATGAAATGTGTACCCTGACGTGTTTTTTCTTGTTTTTATATCTCCAGCCCAATCACTATCTATGCATCCAACAAGTTCCACTTCATTATTAGTAGCATAAAAAATTCCATCAGTCAGTGTACCTTTAATATAACGAAGAATCCTCTTAATTCCTTGTAAATGGTTAACACACAGTTCTTCCATGAATCTGCTAAGTAAACCAACTCCATATATTATATCAAGTCTTGTCGCAGTCAGATATCTCAGACTTCCGATCAAACTTTTATAATAGGTTGAGTCAACTTTCCATCATTTTCTCTTGTCAACTTCAACTTGTCTTCAACTGGTGTGTAAACTGACTTTGAATGCTCCATCTTGAGCTTCTTCAGAATATCATTAGTATATTTCTTTTGGGAAATGAAAATTCCATCATTTTGTTGGACGACCTCAATTCCTAGGAAATAAAACATTAAGCCCATATCAATCATTTCAAATTGTCTAATCATAGCCTCCCTGAATTTTGCAATCACCTCTGAATTATTTCCAGTGAAAATCAAATCATCAACATATAGGCACACAATAAGGACATCTTCAAGATCAATGTATTTGATATATAACGTGTGTTCATGAAGACATCTCTGAAAACCATTCTCCACAAAATAAGAATCAATCTTGTTATGATAATCTCTTGGCGCTTGCTTCAAGCTTTCTTCAATCTATAAACTTTATCTTCCTTTCCTTTGACTACATATCCTGCAGGTTACTCAACATACACTCCTTCTTCTAGATTACCATTAAGAAACACAGACTTAAAATCCATTTGATGTATTTTCCAACTATTTTGAGCTGATATCAAAATAAGCATTCTAATTGTATCAAACCTTGCAACAAGAGAAAATACCTCAAAGTAATCAATATTGGATTTTTGCTTGTATCATTTTTCCATCAACCTTGCTTTATAGCGATCAATATCACCACTAAGTTTGTACTTTGTCTTGTACACTCACTTCACTCCTATATCTTTCTTATCTGTCGGTAATTATGTTTGCTCCCATATTTTATTCTTCTCGATTGCATTGATTTCTTCATTCAATGATTTTCTCCAATTTTCATCATTTACTGCTTCTTCAAAATTTAACAGCTCACAATCTGCAAATAAAAAAAAGTTGATAATCGCCTCATAAGATGGATCTTTATCATTATCCAAAACACAATCTTGTAGTTTGGCTGGTAATCTGCGCATCTTTTGTTGTTTGTTAGATGTTTCTGGCTCATCAGGTGTTATTTGTTGTCTGCTGAATGTTTCTGGATCATCAAGTGTTGGATTATATTCAATCTCCTATTCGTAATCATTTGAAGTCACTATTGGATCCTTTTGTGACTTTGAGGACCAATCACACATTCCTCCTTCATCAAAAGTCACATCTCGACTAATAATCACCTTTTGTGTCTCTGGATTGTAGAGCTTATAAGCCTTTGAGTTTGAACTGTAACTAATAAAGATACATCTTTCTCCTTTGTCATCTAACTTCTTTCTCAATTTATATGGTACATGAGCATATTCATTACATCCAAAAACTCTAAGGTGTCAAATTTGAGGTCTTCTTCCACTCCAAGCTCCTTCAGGAGTCTTTCCTTGGACACTCTTTGTAGGAGACTTATTTAAAATATAAACCGCAGTAGCAACAAATTCTTCCCAAAACTCCTTAGGTATTTGTTTGGATTTCAACATGCATCTTACCATATCCATGATTTTTCTATTCTTTCTTTCAGCAACTCCATTTTGCTGAGGTGTGTATCGTGTTGTCAATTGATGCTCAATTCTATGTTGCTCAAAAACATATTATTTTCTTGACAGGTAATTCAAGCCATAAAAATGAAAGTGAGCAAATATCACGTGCCATAACCAATCATCATTTGGAATGATATAAGTTAAGCAAGAAAATTTTTCATGTTGAATTTTTAAAGGAAATAGGCGGTTCAATGTCATTCTTACCTTTGTGATAAATCTGTCATTTCTGTCAATCAACATGCAAAAACCATTGCGAATCTGCATGTTATAACCTTTCTCCGAAGGTTGTCCCTTACTTAAGAGATTATGATGAAGACCGGGAGCATATAAAACATCACCAATAAATTTTTGAGATCCATCTTTCAATCTGATAGAAATTCGGCCTTTCCCCAAAATTGGAATATTTGAATTGTTTCCAAACATCACGGTAGACGTTACTGTTTTGTTTAGAGAAGAAAATAATTCATTTTACCACACATATGATTACTACACCCAGTGTCCAGATACCATATATGCTCTTCTTCAGAAAATATATTACTGGCCAAAAATAAATTTTGTGGATTTTTAAAGTACTCACCGGTATTTTGATACGAACTTTCTGCCACGTTTACCAGTTTGAGGTCTTCTTCCACTCCAATCTCCTTCAGGAGTCTTTCCTTGGACACTCTTTGTAGGAGACTTATTTAAAATATAAACCGCAGTAGCAACAATTTCTTCCCAAAACTCCTTAGGCATTTGTTTGGATTTCAACATGCATCTTACCATATCCATGATTTTTCTATTCTTTCTTTCAGCAACTCCATTTTGCTGAGGTGTGTATCGTGTTGTCAATTGATGCTCAATTCCATGTTGCTCAAAAACATATTATTTTCTTGACAGGTAATTCAAGCCATAAAAATGAAAGTGACCAAATATCACGTGCCATAACCAATCATTATTTGGAATTATATAAGTTAAGCAAGAAAATTTTTCATGTTGAATTTTTAAAGGAAATAGGCGGTTCAATGTCATTCTTACCTTTGTGATAAATCTGTCATTTCTGTCAATCAACGTGCAAAAACCATTGCGAATCTGCATGTTATAACCTTTCTCCGAAGGTTGTCCCTTACTTAAGAGATTATGATGAAGACCGGGAGCATATAAAACATCACCAATAAATTTTTGAGATCCATCTTTCAATCTGATAGAAATTCGGCCTTTCCCCAAAATTAGAATATTTGAATTGTTTCCAAACATCACGGTAAACGTTACTGTTTTGTTTAGAGAAGAAAATAATTCATTTTACCACACATATGATTACTACACCCAGTGTCCAAATACCATATATGCTCTTCTTCAGAAAATATATTACTGGCCAAAAATAAATTTTGAGGATTTTCAAAGTACTCACCGGTATTTTGATACGAACTTTTTGCCACATTTACCAGTTTGAGGTCTTCTTCCACTCCAATCTCCTTCAGGAGTCTTTCCTTGGACACTCTTTGTAGGAGACTTATTTAAAATATAAACCGCAGTAGCAACAATTTCTTCCCAAAACTCCTTAGGCATTTGTTTGGATTTCAACATGCATCTTACCATATCCATGATTTTTCTATTCTTTCTTTCAGCAACTCCATTTTGCTGAGGTGTGTATCGTGTTGTCAATTGATGCTCAATTCCATGTTGCTCAAAAACATATTATTTTCTTGACAGGTAATTCAAGCCATAAAAATGAAAGTGACCAAATATCACGTGTCATAACCAATCATCATTTGGAATGATATAAGTTAAGCAAGAAAATTTTTCATGTTGAATTTTTAAAGGAAATAGGAGGTTCAATGTCATTCTTACCTTTGTGATAAATCTGTCATTTATGTCAATCAACGTGCAAACACCATTGCGAATCTGCATGTTATAACCTTTCTCTGAAGGTTGTCCCTTACTTAAGAGATTATGATGAAGACCGAGAGCATATAAAACATCACCAATAAATTTTTGAGATACATCTTTCAATCTGATAGAAATTCGGCCTTTCCCCAAAATTAGAATATTTGAATTGTTTCCAAACATCACGGTAGACGTTACTGTTTTGTTTAGAGAAGAAAATAATTCATTTTACCACACATATGATTACTACACCCAGTGTCCAGATACCATATATGCACTTCTTCAGAAAATATATTACTGGCCAAAAATAAATTTTGTGGATTTTCAAAGTACTCACCGGTATTTTGATACGAACTTTCTGCCACATTTACCAGATGTTTGTATCTGCAATTAGCTTCTTTGTGTCCAAAATTTCCACAATGATAACAACTATAATTCATCCTTTCTTGATTGTAGTTACCTCTTCCTCTGCCACGATATGTAAATCCAAAATTATGGCCACCTCTTTCTTGATGTGCTGGATTGAAACCGTTGAAGTTGTTGACTCTCCATTGGTTAAAGTTACCATGTTCTCTTCCACCTAATTTCCTCGGTCTCTACCTCTATAATTTCCTCTTCCTCTATTGTTGTAATTATTTTGAAATCTTTCTTCTACAGTACGGCTTGACTCAGAAGTGTTGTTGAAATTTACCTGACTTTTTAGAGCTTCTTCTTTTACCACTTTCTCGGTCTTTTCTAATATTCTGTTGACATGAATTTCAATACTTTCCAATAATTCTGCTACAAACGAAGTGTATGTGTCGTGTGACTCAACTATTGTATTCACCACATGGTCAAACTTCATCAATATCGTACTTAGAATCTTTTCTACCACTTTACTATCTAGAATATCTTCTCCATATACTCTCATCTTGTTGACAAGATTTATAACACGAGAAAAATATTGTTCTAATATTTCTAAATTAGACATTTCATACCTTTCATATTCTCTACGCATGGATTGTAATTTGGACTTCTGAGCCCTCTCTACTCCTTTATGTGATAATTTCAATATGTCCCACGCTTCTTTAGCAGTCTTGACATTTGCAATTTTTCCAAATACTGAGTAATCAATTTCTTTATGAATTTGTGAAGGTGCCAACCGGTTTTTTTTACGAGCGACTTTATCAGCTCCTTGTTGTAAATCGGGATCCACAAAGCTTCAAACATTGTGAGCTTTTAAATATGTTATCATCAAAATTTCCCAAAAACTAAAATATAACTCTGCGATTAATTTTGGACCGGACCAGACAAAATTGTAATTATTTACCATATCTCTTTCAAAATATACTCACAATAATTTTTGACATAATAAAAACTCTTTTCTTCTTCACGCACTTAAAAATATTTTTGACACTCACGCTATTAGAACCTAACCTACTCTGATACTAATTTAATAGCAAGATAAGACTTTAACAATTAAATACAAAAGAAGCATATTTACTTATATCACTCTTACTTCATATATTTGATAATTTATGATGATACTACATGTACATAAGCATGCCTATTATAGGCTTTCAAAGCTTAATAACTAAGTAACTATTCTTATTCATTAAGTAAAACCATCATGTGCAATTGGCGGTTGTTTGTGTTTTGGTCCAATCAAGTTCTCTCTTAATGGTGAAGAATAAAAACAAGCTAATACTTAGGCATTAAGAAAAGGTAAAATATCCAACTAAAATATTCTAGTATTCTTCCAACCAAACTCTAGAATTCTCTATTGGTAATTGGAACTTAATTTATCACTCGCAAAAGAGAAAAAACTATTGATGAGAATGCAATGTTATCACTCGACACCTGTTTTATAATAGGCAATATTCTCATTTTCTTCCAGTACTCAATACTTTTTGGATACTACAATAAAAAGGGTTTATCGTTTTTCATTCCTCCACCAAATACACCACGATAAATCAGACACTATTCTCCTTTATCTATCAAAAACTTTTTTGTTGGTACAAAACTCCTACATGAACGCCAAAGGGAATTTTTTATCCTCAAAGGGGTCTTTATTTTTCAGAGGAGCTACCAATTCTAACAAATTCTTATATGGTTGTATCAATAGATTCTTCTATGCAATATTGGTAGGCATTTTAAAGTGAAAACATGCCACTCTTTTTGAACTTTCACACAGTTTTGTCAATTTGTACAACTTCAAACATGAGAGTTTAAATAACATTTGCACTTTCTCCTTCTCCAACAAGAGTGTAAATCCAGTTAGTATTGCACTATTATTCTTTAGTAACCATCAAATCAGAAAAATTCAATTTGTTAACTATCGAGATGGTTGGCCACGGGTTTGCCAACGACTTACTATCATACGATCAATTTTGACCCCAAATTGCAATTTTTTTTCTCCTGGAATACTCCACATGCACCCACCTTGCATAACAAAATTTGAATTCCAAATAATTCTACAGAAATAACTGGGTTTTCTCAATAGTTGAATCAAGAAAATCACACCCAGATAAATACATAGCTCTGAAGAGACGTGTGATCATGTTACCTTGACTTGCCATGAAATTCCAAGCTTGTTTACAAAGCATAGTGTTGTACCCCAAAAATTGTCCTCCTATTTTTCCACAAGAAATCACAGCTTCGGGCTTTTCCTGATTTTTCAGATTGGCGTAAGAATCAGTCAAACAGACTTTTTCTTATCAGTCTATCCAAATTAGGGTTTTCATGGACTCTGGAACAGTTCAAGCAAATTATTAGGGTTTGGTTGAGTTTGGCTCAAGGTTTGATCAGACAGGCGTTTTCTTTGGTGTTAAATCAAGAATCAGGGTTTTGCGCGTGCAGTTTCAGAAGAGTTTGAATCCAAAGTGTTTTAATTGGTTGTTACACTGTTTTGACATTGGTTCAAAATTTCTGTCTAAACATCTGGGATAAAGGCTAAGGCATTTGATTTGAGATGGGATAAAAGCTGAGGTATTTGAATTGAGAGTTTGCAGTGTTTGATTTAATCAGCAAAGAGATAGGCATATATGGATGTTTGTTTGATTGACTGTGCATTGCTTATGTTTAATTGGAGCGCCGAGTTTATTATTGATTAATGCTAAGTTGCAGGACTACAATGTTTATTAATTATTTATTTTTTCTAAGTCAGAATAATTGGATTTACTTCCAGTTATTTTAATTTAAGAAACTCAAATAATTAAATGGACAGTGAATTGAAAGAAGAATTAACTGATAAAAAGAAAGACTTATTTATTTCATTTTGAATTGTTTGTTACAGATATTATTTTGAATACTGTAAATTCATTTACAGTCATTTACATTAATATTATTACAAATAATTAAAATGAAATAAAGCTACATCCTAAAATTTCCTAAGTCTTCTACTGATGCTCCTTTGGCTCAATTGACTTTTATCTGCAAAAACAAAGAAAAGAAAAGAAGTTAGCACAGACGAAAATCAAAAGCAGACAGTTAATTTAAAGACTCATCATTAAAAGTGATTGGCCGGGATCAGTTATTCACCCTCTCTGCAAATCACAAGAAAATTTTTGGTTCACAAAGAGGGATAGAAAGTGTTTGCAAATAAAATATGAAATGCACAAAGCTACAATATTGCACAAATTCAAAATGTCAACAAAGCTGCATAATTCCAAAAATCCAAACCAAAGTCCAAACTGAATTGATTGCAAACTGAAGAAACTAAACCAAGTCCAATGTCAAAACCAAACTGTCCAAAAGCTATCAAAAGGCTATCCAAAAAGCTGTCAACAAAGTACACAAGATATGCAGGAAATCTTGAAAGTACACAGAGGAAAGGGACAATGCAAACATATTCAAATTTTACATCATTTCAAGGCCAGCACTTTTTCAGAGCATAGTACAGTAAGCAATATAAAAATGCTTTTTAAACTGTAGAGAGGGAGAAGAGAGAGAGAAGAGGCTTACAGGCTTTAGGCTTAGGAAGATATATAAAACAAAACATATCAGAATAAGAAGAAAGGGGGCAGAATACACAAATAAGAACACAAACTGAACCACAAGCTTCCAAGACTGCCTCAAAATCGTTACTCAACAATAGCCTCAAAAAATTGCCTCCAACACAAACTGTGTCAAACAGTCAAACAACCAAGCAAACAACAAGCCTTCACCTGCAGAACCACATAACAAAAACAACACAAAAGCCTAAAGCCTTAACCTGTCAAGCTACACAAGCCTCAAGCCTTTCAAGACTCAGCCTGAAACTTGTCAAACAACCAAAAACACAAGCCAGAAGCCTGCTGCAGAATAACCAGAAAAAAGCACATAACAAAAATAACATATCCTGCTAAGCCTTTCCATCCTGCATAAGCAAGCCTGGAGCCTAAAACTTCAAGGCCTGTAACTTCAAAGCCTAAAGCTCCAAACAAAATTCCAACCAAACCTGAAACTTCAAGCCCAACCAGTACAAAAACCAGAAAAAGCATCCAATCTCAAGAGCTCTCAGAACTGAGTTCATCATTGAGCAAGCATATCAAGCATACAAGGCATCTCAGCATTCAAACAGTGGAAGAGGAAAAGAAGCAAAATAGACAAAGTATCCAACATATCCAAACAAAGCCCTCAGAGCAACCTCATCATTGGGCTAACAATAACAAATCGATACTCAGCAATCAACATCATTAAGCAAGTGTTTCAGGGGCAAGCATACAAGCATACTGAAGCAAGCAAAAGAGAAGACAGAAGCAACAAGCAGAGTTTTCAGAGCTCATCACAAAACCTAACCTAAGGCAAATACAAATACCAGTTTTTCCAAGCAAGCTCATCAGCATCACTGCTCCCTCCGTCTCCGGCCACCCTACGCGCCTCCAAGTCCGCCTCTCCTCCTCTCCAAGCAACGAAAGCCAAAGGTAGTATCTCTTCCTTTTTCTTTTCACGCACCTCAAACAGAAACAAACAACAACACATAAAATCAGAACACATGAAATTAACACATGCAAAGCTTGAAACCCTAATAAGATAGAAATCATTACCTTTGTATAACTACTGCCTGAGTGATCCATGGAGGGAAGAGGAGACGGATGATGGCGCCTAGTGGCCATGGACGAAGAGTTCGTTCAGAAGGCCTTGTTCAGGAGAGATGAAGAAGACAAAGGAAGCGAAGAAGATGAACGGCGCCGCTCTGTAAACCCTTAATGAAACAAAATCACTGAAACCCTAAAACAAAATGTTGTGAAACGCCACTGGGCCTTGCCCCGTCCAAGAATGCTTAAGCCCAACTAAAAGCCAGCGCCTTACACCCCCCTTTTTTCTAACCTTGTCTGTTTTTGTTTGGGTCAAATGCCTCTTTAGGCCCATTCAATCTTTTCATCTTTCTTTATTTATTTTATTTTTCATTTCAAACTAACATTATTTTTCTATCACCTTACCTTTTTTCTATATACATAAATTAACTTTTTAATAAAAATGATATATTGTTTTCTTTCATCTATTAAGATTTTTTAGTAACAATACTTTTTTATTATACTTAAAATACATAAAAAAATATATTTTTAAGTTGAACAATTTTCTCTTTTAGAAACTTTTCTTATTTCATTGAAATCTTGTATATAAACTAAAATGTATAAATGTTAATTCCCTCTAAAAAGCTTAAAACATTTTTCTTTTCTTTTATTAAATATTTTTGTACATAAAAACATCAATACATAAAAAATAGAATTTATTAAGAAAACATCTTTTTTCTTTCTTTTAATTAAAAATTTTGTTTATAGATAATCAACAAAATACAAAAAAGATAATAATACTTAATAAATAAATACTTAAATTTGCATTAAGTTAACATACTTTTCTCACTCATAAATAATCGCATGCACTTACACCAATACATTTGCTTGTCTTTTATTCTTGTACATTGCTACATTTTACATTGCGATTGAT